CACAACTAAACACTATGTCATGTTTTTTGAGAGTATGTGAATGCAGATAGAGAAGGCAGCAGGATGACTTCAGTGGTTTATGACCAAAAATAGCTTACAGGCCAGTACAGGTAGGCAGACAGGCAGGCAGGAAGACATATAAGAAGCAGGTATGTAGGAAGGGCCAGGTTAAGGTTAAGTTCTGGGTTTAGTGACAGAAATTCAAAAGCAAAAAAACAAGGTAAGACAGGGAGATTGCAACAAGGCAACTAGGATGAACTAGTAGAGTACGAGTGTGAATGAGCTGGTTTAATTGCAGGGATGATGAGGAAGAGTGGAAGCAAGCAGGTGAGCAGGTGTGCAGGGAAGTTCAGGTGACTGGGACTGAAGGGAAACAAATTATTGCCAAGGGGGTAAGCCAGAGTTGGAACAGTGAAACCAAAGCCGGCATTAAAGGTTCCATATAGGGCCAAAAATGACATCAAAACCCTGTAACATCCCGTTGCACATGAGAGATGTAACTGAATTGCTTAGATTATAAGCTCTATGTGAACCAAAAAGTAACTATTCAGCCTTCAGTGACGCTGCGTTGATGATTGGCAGATGAGCCTTGTAGGAGGTCTGATTAAACAGTCATGATCTGAGGCAGACAAATACAAAACTGGCTTCACTGCTCTCCATTCAAACCCACGCGGTGGCTTTGTCCAGTAATATACTGTCTATGGTTATTGCAGGTCAGAAGGTAGAAGCTGGAATAGGATTTATCACTGCACCTAGGTTTGATGCAGACAGTAACTCTTGGATGCAAGCGTCACAAAAATTGTTATTCACTGACAGATGTTTCTTTGGTTATCATCCACTCAGCCTCTCCGAGCATGTGCATTTATGAATGTCATTTACATTGTTAAGTGATTCCCCCCCTCCAGTCTTCAGGTCCCATGTCTCCACTGATTTTTTACGCTATATTTATACAGCTCAGCTGGCATTGATGTCAGCTAGGAAGCTGTTTGAAATGAGCTACAACAGAAAAATTAATTTTATACAGAATCATAAAATAGGATGAAATCTTATATCTATATATATCTTATATCAGTAATGTATCATGCTGTAGATTTTCAAGAGATTCAAACATGATCTCTCTGTGCAGTAATATACAGTAGGATATTAGTTTGCATTTGATTTCATGACAAACTAATGTGATATACATTAAGCACTGTACATACTTGGGTGCTTAGTTGTTAAGTTCAAATCCTCTGTGTGAACTTAACAAAAGTATAACAGATCAAATGAATACAAAACTGTAGGAACCCTGCTGAGATAATATATATATTTACCAGCAAATACTGATTCGTAATGCATGCTTATAAGGAAACCCAAATGAAACAAACACCATATAAATAGATAAATTACTGATCTGAAAGCACTAATAAACCTTAACCATGTCTGTCAATAATAAGCACAATGTACAAGGTAGGACAAGGCTCCAATAATGGTTAATCATTTATTAATTAAGTGATAATTAATTTGCGATAAATTTATCAAATATCTAAAATGTTCATAAAATGTCAAAACATAGTGAAAAATTTGGTGACATCTTCAAATTACTTGTTTTGTCTGACCAACAGGCCAAAACCCCAAAATATCTGACTTACAGCTATATAAAAGGAGAAAGACATCACATTGTCAAATTGGAGAAGCTCAAACCAGATAATGTTTTAAATTTTTGCTTAATGAATGACAATTAATCGATTACCAAAATTGTTGCAGGTTAATTTTCTGACAGTCTCACTAATCAATGAATCAACTAATCGTTTCAGCTCTTGTTATCAGATCTCCCACCTGCCAGGCATAAAGCTTAGAACAAACTAATTAAAATTGTTTATGAATCATTATAATGTGATTTAGGTTGGTAAAATGTTTGCATGCCTGAGTAAACACATCGATATCATGAATCATCTCATTAAGGCAGCAGAAGCCATTTGAGATGATTCATTTCTTCCATTAAAGGCTAACGTTAGAGTGGTTATTAGTCAGGTTTTGAAGCCAGGGTAAATGAGCCTTCTAACTCTTTCACAACACCAACAATTGTAACGGAGTCAGCGGTGGCTCAGCCTTCACTCAGACTCAATTACACTTTTCTCGAACAAGTACAAAGTACAATAACTTCGTAAATTCAACCTTTAAAAACAGATGATTTGTCGTTGTAGTCCAAAATTGGGGGGTACTGCACTGGCTGGCAGCAGTAGAGGATAAAATCAGGTTACTTCACACTGTGAGACTTCCCATGAACCCAATCTGTATTCTGACACCAGAACAGCACAAACTCTAATTACCTGTGCTGGATCAGCGTTCTTGCAGTGCAGCACAAACTCAAAGTAATGACCCCTTCCTCTGGATATCATTTATGCACTTTTTTCAGAGGTTTTCTTCTCTGCTGCAAAAGTTTGTGCTTCTTTCTTATGTGCAGCAAATATCGACTCTTTTCCAAACTAGTTGTCATCATCTTGAATTTCCCTCGGGATAAATAAAGTATCTATCTATCTATCTATCATCTCAAACATTTCTTCATTTCACTCATCGTTGTTGAACATCATTATTAACTCATAAAATCAACCCCATTACGAATTATGATTTGTTTTCACTATTAACCCAAATGTTCTGTTTGTGTTCCTGGAAACCAAAGGCCCTCTTTAACAAAAAGGTTCAGCAAGGTGCTTTGTCACCGTGATACTCCATGACCTTTGTGGATGAGAATTGCTAATAAAAAGAAGACCACTACAGAAAATGACTTATCACTTCTATTTGGGATCTGGGATTTGTGATCTCAGATATGTAAAACGTGAACAATGAATTTTCATTGTATCTTTCATTGTATTTCACTGCTCTATATCTGTGATTGGTGCTGATGGTTACTTTTTCACTGCACGAATCCCAAGTCTATTTTGATTTCTGGTATTTTTGGGTTTTAATATTTTGTTCATAAGAAGACCGCTCTCGTGTGTAACTGAACCCAATTTGCAATGGCTGTTATTTTTTACACATATGAGGGTGTAAAGCCAATGTGAACATAAGACATGGGTTAAATGGCCACTATAATGCCACGTATAATGGATATACTATATATTTATAATTGTAAGGGCACGTACAGTGTAGACATGCAATGAAAAGCCCTTTCAGCACCTTTCATATTAAGCATATGGCAGGTTGTGTGCACTCCATTCCATGCTCAGTAATTAAACTTTAAGCACCTTCATTACAATTCTGTTCGCAAGCACGGCCTGGAGAGCAACAATAGCAAATGTCATGTTTTCTCGCTGCCAGTATACACACTGCACAGGCTGACAACAGTGATGGTGGCTGACCCTTTCTGTGAGACAAAACTGGTTTTCACCTCCAAATTATGAAGCATTGGTTGGCAGATTGCGGCCAGCTGCACCTGGAGTATCGAAGCTTCAGGGTGCTAATAATGAATTGGATGTAACCTATTCGGCAGCTGCACTGGCAAGCCTACAAATTGGTGCATCACAGACATCGTGATTTGCATTTTCATGGTTTGGAAGGCGAGATAAGCAATAATGGTTAAGCAATTATTGTTTGGGACACAACCATCGGGTTTCTCTCAGCCCGGCTCATCTTGGTGGTGAATATAGGACTCATTCAGTGAGATTACATGCTCTGTAACCTGGTAATCTCTCTGTAATAATTGGATTTTTAAAATATAATGCATGTGAGAGACCCAGTTTTCTTAATTGCGTACACTTACCTGGGTTTCTAACTGGGAGTTTTACATGTGCATGACTTAAAACAAGGAAAATATCACTGTAGCAGCAGTGCAGAGGGATGAAAAATGTTTGTAATGTGTTTTCTTGTATGTAAAGAACAGAATCTTAAATGATAAATATCACTACACACCTATGGTTCACCCACACAGATTTTTTCACTTGTGGTGCCTGAGAAGACTTCTTCTGAAGGTCACACCAGATTTCATTTCCATTCATTTCAATGAACAAAGAGAGAAGTATCAGCTTCCAGTCACAAATTAAACCCACCCAAACACAATCTAAATTGCTCTCCAATGTCCAGCCAGCTTGAAAGACTTTTTATTATTGAACTCTCAATCAGGAAATATTGATTTTTTTACTCTTAACTTGTATATAATAATGGCTGGCGAAATTAAACAAGCAGCAGAGAAGGAGGGACGCTGCTTGGCTGTAATAAGCACAAGGACAGTGACAGAGGTCTATGACAAAACAGTGTTTGTCCCATAGCTTACAACTTGTAGTATGATGTTGTTAGCCAAGCTAGCTCATGCAGTTTATGTTTACAACCCTACCCGTGCTATTTCTTGTCCTGCTTGCTTTTTGCCGGACCACCCAAAAAACATTTCCAAGGTGAAATCTGGTTTGACCGGTCTTTACATCCATTTGACTAAAAATGCAATTAAAATTGGTTTTCACCGTAAACACATGTAGCTACACGAAGGAAAACCTGTCTCACTACAGGGCCTGTCCACTTTGTGGCCATCAGTTCAAATGCTCTGAAAAAATATCAGTTCTGCGTGCAACACCGTAATTACTATACTAAATACTAAACATTTAAAATGTTAGTTTGGTTTAAACACTATGGTTGTGGGTTGGATTAAAAAAAAGTGCACGTCACATAAACATTAAACAACCAAAGTATAAACTCTTAAGACTGTTAAAAAGCTTGCAACATCTCTAATGTCTGAGTGGATCAACACACATTTGAATCTCTTTATTGTATCTGTGTCAAGATGCGGTGAATAAATAATGTCCTGCAAAGAAGCACAAATGTGTGTTATCTACCTCAAACGACAGACATGTTGAAACCATTTTTGCAATGCAGGGATTTGTCAGCATAGAGACACTGCTGTCATCTGTATCACGACCAGAGGGCTGAACTTCACTTAATGTTAACATACCAGGGTCTCTTGTGGCCATCGTAATGGGAGTTTCATGCCGAGTGAGAGCCTGAACTGTCTTCTCTGTTTGCCCTTGCAGCTGGTGAGTGAGCAACAAGAGAGCCGTCCGCTTCTAAGCCCTTCCATTGACGATTTCCTCTGCGAGACCAAGTGTGATGGGGTTTCACGCCCAGTGACCTCCAACACAGCTGGTACAGTACAGTCACACAGTCATTTAGTCTGCAAAAAGTCTAATTAATGGCATGCAAACATGCATGCATGACTAGGCAGCACAAGTTTTTAATTTTCTGTTTAAAATGCCCTTCAACCATTTATACCAGGTTTCATGTCAAAAGAATGATATGCAATACAAATGTACAATTAACCTGCAGTATATAGAGAAGAAAAGCTCTTTGATACCACGCTGTGGCTGTTAACACGTGAGGGACTTGAAAGACAAATCGGATGCTACCTCCTGCTAACAACATGTTTTCATCAACCATGGCAACAATACTGGAGGGGGTGTTTTTTACTTGGCTGTCTCATGTGTCTATTAAATCAACATCATACCTTTGACAACTGTTACTAGCAACACAAAGAGTATCTTATCTGATGTTTTTAACAGAGATTCACGTGCAGAACAAAGCTCTCTAGTAACCACATGAGTTTGACTTGCAACTAATAATGCATTGCTGCCTGTACAATAATTCATTGTATATCTAAGTAAATAATTAAACAGGACGTCTCCTGCCACATGTGCTCAATTTAAAAAGGGATTATAAATGGTCAATGCCAGTCCTAATGGCAGTTCCTTCCTGTTAGTCAGCTAATGCTTGACTCCATGCTCTCTCTCTCTCTCTGTTTAGTAATATACTCACAGAAGATTCAAGATTTCCAGTGGATATTATAGTCAGTTTGTGACATCTGTTTTTGAGCTTGGGCTTTTGAATACATTTTTTTGTTTATTTGACATTACTCAGGTTTCCATCGAAAGGTAGCGCAAATTAAACTGAATTCCCATAAAATGTTTTTTTTACTACTGATATCTGAATATTACAAGTTGGGCACATCAAGATATAAGGTATTAATTCTTCCTTCAGGTGCAATCAAACCACCAAGTATTAGCCCAAACTGGCAAATCAGGTTATATTTGGAAAATATCTAAACATGTTGTGTCTGAACATTATCTATTTACTCTATACACATAAAGGCAACATCTTGACATCAGTAGAGAACATGTAAAATGTATATTTAAGTGTGTCTCCATTAGTACATGTGTGCATTATATAACCTTTTCATTCTGCCAAAATAACAACAAAGGCAAAGTAGGTGTTGAGAAATTGAATGTTCTGACTCCAACAGATGCCAAGTGCCATCTTGGTTTCCACATGGGTGGGACCTTGATCACTGAGATCTACCATTTTTTTAATGACTATTTGCAGTACCAGATTGCACAGCTGACATGTGTCATCTCCAAACTGGCCGCTCACTGTGCTGATTCAGCTGGTGAAAGTATGGGGGGTAATGTCGTGGCAAACTCTCCACCTTCTGTCTCCCCAGTGCCTCCTGCTGCTCCCGCTGACAATGATGGCCTAATATAATTGGTTGTGAATCTCAAAATGGTCAGATCCTGTCTAGAACTTAAGTCTATGTGCAATATTGTAAAGGTACAATCATCCTGAATAAATGCTTGTACACATGAAATCATCAGAGCCGAGTAGTTATGGATGTGAAACATCTTGTGTTCGAAGACTGTAAGCCGTTTTCACATTCTCTTCATGTTCACTTGGGTTTCCTCCAGCTGCTCTGATTTCCTCCCACAGTCTAAAGACATGCAGGTGAAGTGGATTTTAGTTGCGATAGTCTGTTAATCTGTTTTCACATTGTGGTGGACTTGGAAAAGCATCCAGCTGTGAATAACACTGAACAGGAATTAGTGAGCAAAGAAAATCAATAATCAATGATAATTACCAGTTGTGCTCTGCAGTCTGATTTTGAGGTTTTGATTTTTGCCCGTTTATGGAATTATTAAAAACTCCATCATAAATTATAAATTGGTTTTATTGTGTGTATCAGTGTCTGGGTTTTAGAAACACACTAGTCACACATGGCTAATTAAGTTTTCTATTTTAGTAATAAAAAGAACTAACCAAATCAGCTGGTTGCCCCTGAAGTGTCTGTCCCACACTGGTTAGGATATTCATCACTACTCATTTCTCGATAAATAGGCTTAGCTCATTTAGTCAAGAAGGGCCTCTCATCAAAACCCTCTTGCTGAATAAAATTCCCTCTCTTCAATACTCACACTCAGGACTTTGCTCTAATATGCTGTTTCAATAGTCACAGGAACACTCTACAGACACAACAGTTGACCTTTGATCTTAAATTGATTCCTGGAATCTCAATTGTCTCGTCTCTATTGAAACGTATTGTTATCAAATGTAAATTTGTAAATCTAAATATTCAGTTGGCCATATATCATGGCCACCTTTTTGGGGATAGATCCTATATAGATCCTAGGTCATGTGTTTGTATTATAATTTTGACGCATTTTTGCATTCAATTCATGTTAACCAAACCTTTGTTTTATGGACATGTCTAATAATTATTTTGTGACATTTCATGAACCTGAGCATTTGAGCTACCTTTCCATCAGCAGTAACTGTCACCAGTATCATTTAGCTATTTACCACACTAACAGTGAATATTCAGGTTTCTTATATACCTCAAGTCAGATTTGGATTTGGATGTTTGGCATTTGGAAAGCATGATTCTTTCCCCCAAAAGGAGTCATGGCCTTGGGGCCTGCTGCTTGATGACGTGATGCCGGTCTGATGGATACACCCTTCTCCTGAACAGCGATTGTCCAATCGTAGCCTAGCAACCATAACTAGGCAAGCTTTGGATTTGGATTTCAGGTGACTGCTTTAGTAAGCACGATACTTGGAATTCAAAGATTTTGGAGGCTCAAGTCTTAAAGCTAGAGTAGGCAACGTTGAAGAAACTTGCAAGAGACAGCGAGATTTTAAAAGTATCTAAGTGAAGTAAGTAAGTGAAAAAATTCCACCTGCTCCCTTCAGGCCTACGCGCAGTGAGTGCACGGGCAGAGTGCACACAGAAAGGCAGGCAATTAGGTAAACCAGCCAAGAAATGATTGGCCATGCTTATTACAGTCCTGTGACAACCACAGATACTGGATTCTTTTTCATTTTTGTGTCCAAGCATTTGATTTATTAAATGCTGTCAGGATGTAAAGAACTACAACAAAATGTGCTTCTGAAATAAATTGCCCCAGGATACGTTAGAAAAAGGCCTGTTCAAGACTGGCACATCTATTGTGTGGTATTTCCCCCACTGCACGGTAGCTGGCTAACTGGCAAACACAGCAGAACAGTGGTCCTGCTCTACTGAATTTAGGGATGTTTACACTCCAGCAACCTCAGCTGAACAAACCCAAGCATCCAGCACTGGATAACACTGAAGCAAAGACAATAAATGATGAATGATAAATACCAGTTTTGCTCTCTCCTGCATGCAGCTTTACTTTCGTCTGATTTTGAGGTTGAAGACTATTTTTGTCCCTTGTGGAATTTTAAGAACTCCATCATAAATTATAAATTGGTTTCATGGGTGTCTGGGGTTTAGAAACACACTAGTCACATACATGTCTAATTAAGTTTTAAATTTTATAAGGAGGAGAGAAGAAAATGAGTAAGCTATGAACTAGCCAAATCAGGTTGCCCCTGAAGTGTCCTTCCCACACTGGTTAGGATATCCATCACTACTCATTTCTTTATGCATAGGCTCAGCTCATTTAGTCAAGAAGGGCGATGGTTAGCTGGATAATACAGTGGCTCTGTCCTGCTTTAATGAATTTATGGGAAGTTTACAGTCCAGCAATCTTAGCTGAACTTACCCAACATTGTGTCACATTTACCAAACTAATCAGCTAGTCCTCATCCTCAAAACTTTTTCTCTAGTAAAAGTGAAACATAAAAGCAAAGTGAAACATAAAAGCATAAAGACATAAGCACAATATAAGCAGGGTTACGTTGGAACAATATAACATTTTTCGTTGTCCTTATAAGGAGCTTATAAGTTATGTAGCCTTCAAGTGCCTGTTTAAAAATATGTGAACCAGAGACAGCATTATTAACTGATTCAGCTAATGCTAATTAGCTAGCTAGAGCTTATAAAATCTACCAGTTGTTCATTATGTTGTAAAGCTGAAAAGCTCAAGACTCCATAAAAATGCTCAATAGTCACATTTATTTGCTCACCATCAGTCCATTGGCCACCACGGAGCAATTCACTATCCATTATATAAATATACAGTATACAAGCATCCAGTTAAACTATCCAGTTGATGAGGAAAACGTACTCCTGTGCAATTCTCTTCCCCGTTTTATAATTTCAAGTAGACTTGAGGGTGCAGAAACATTTTTGACATCATTGCCTTTTCATGAACAGCTTCTGTTTCTTTTTGATGCTGATAACTCTTCAGGCAACCTTCCCCACGAGCATGTCTCGCTTGATTTGTAATTGTCATAGAAAGAGCGCAAGGCATGGAAGACAAGTACACTCTCTAATTACACAGAGATTTCAGTCAACAAATGCTCTCAGTTGGTTGTCATAAAACAGCAGCTCGCCAATTATGCAGTCATGTGTCTGTAGTTTTGAGTTTGGGTTCGCATTGCACAAAAGACACAGTTAGGGTTCTTAAAAATGAGCAACCTTTGTAGGTTCCTCAAATAACCAATGCATAAAAGGGTTTAATAGGGTTGTGAACCTTATATCTTACGTGAACTTTTAGACAAGTCGCCATCCCATGTGTTTTCTGCAAACATATGTTTATAAAAATCCAGTGGCAATGACAGAGATAATTAAATTCCTTTTATTACATATTAACAAAGAACACAATTCCATTCCTGCATCCAGATGTGCTTCATGTACAATATGTGCATTGCACTGACAATGGAATGTGACATTACATGTAGAATGGATTTAAGAGATATAATAATGTTCACCATGGAGGGAACAAATAAATGACCAGTAGCAAAAATGTACTTCACACAAAATGTCACAAATTTTCCATTACAATGATATTAAGAGGGACAACTGTCACCCAAAATTTTGGAGCATTTGTTTGCATTTCACCCTGTTGGTCCAAAATTCAATAAACATGATGTGGCTGTAAACAGAGAAGAGAAAAATCAGCATTGGGGAAAAAAAGGCAGTGTGGGTTTAGTTTACAATGATTGGACGACAGCCCAGACAAAAGTTCAGCCCCTTGACATAAAGCTCTGTCCTTCTTTGCCGCTCTACAAACCTGAGATTGAATTACTTAATTGACCAAACTGGAGCTCCTCAAGGGGCTGTCTTATCCTTATCAAACTGTGCAGCGGCCTGTAGTATATTTAGATTCTTTGAAAAGAGCAGCAGCAAATTTTTTAGATGTCCACCCAGGGGGCAATACTGTGACAGCTTAAGTACCCTTGACAGCTCAACTCGCCGTGTCAGAAAATGTGTAGATCAAAATCAAAGCTTTGTGTGGTACAAGTGAATAAGTGGTACAAGTATAAGTGAAACCTGCCGTTCTATCTTATTACAAAGCCAAAGGAAAGTTTCTGATGATACAAGCTTGAAGAATCTAAAAGAAAACACTTAGTAGAGTGAATGACCTTGACACAACTAAGCACAAAATAAAAGTTGTTAAAACAGTTGATATATAAGAATAAAATTCAATCAGAATACCATCATTCACAAACTGAATTAACAATAAATCTCACTGAATTCAAAAGAACAATTATATAAGGCAACATAAGAACAGAGAGAAAAAAGAATAGAGCAGAAGACATTGAAGCTGTGTTTTTCTAGCATTAAAGGGCACATGAAGGATCCATTTATACCTGAATGCTGTTATGTGATAGTGAATTTACTCAGTAATAAATCATAAACATTGGAAAATAATGTTTAAATAGTGAAATTGTGTGACCAAATGACTTATAACTGAAAATTTTAGAATTTACATGCAAATGATTAAACCAATTGCCCTATATATTATAATCATTGATGGCAAAATTCAATAAAGTATCTATACATTTTGTATATACTATATCTTGTAGAATTCCATCAGTAGAGAAACCTGTCTAACTTTGCAGCCATTCACATTTATAAAATCTCAGATAAGTTTAAAGAAGACCTATTATATTGCATTCCCAGCCCTATATTTTTACTCCTCCCGTGAGCTTGCTTCATTCACTCTGGTCGGTGTTTACATCTCACCGCACGCCAACGTTCAGGACGCACAGAGCACGCTGGTCGACTTGATACTGTGTGTGGAGCAGACAAACCCGGACTCCCTTGTTATTGTTCTCCTTAACTTTAACAGGGGAAATCTCAGCCAAGAACTCCCCAAATGCAGACAGTTTATAAAGTGTCCAACCAGAGAGGGGAACACTTTGGATCGCTGCTACACCACAGTTAGCAGTGCCACACGCGCTCCACTGGGAACCTCTGATCACGTGATGGTCCATCTGATTCCTGCTTACAGGCAAAAACTAAAGCTCTGTAAAGGCCGATTTATACTCCTACGTAGGGTCTACGTAGCCATACATTTATACATGTACGTAGGTGTGTCCGTCATTCTGCAATTATACCTCCAAACGTTAGTCGGCAGTAGCACTGCAGCGTCCACTATGCTGACTTTTTCTGGCCGAGCAGGCTAACTTCCAGTTTAGCGCTCTAACGTGCGGCTGGTGTAGCCTTTTCAAATGTTACCAACCGAATGGATCACATTCTGATGCGAAGTCATTTTGCTCGGGTTGCGATTCAAATATATTGATTCACTGTGTTACAGCCGCCGTTTTAGCCACTACTATAAGTTACTTCAAAGCCCTGGGTACTTCCAGTCTGCTCGGAGGCATTGCGAGGCTACCCAGCCGACCAATCACAGAGCTTACGGTCCGCGTCGACTCGACGTGTAGTTACATTTTGGAGGAGGTGCACGTCAGGTGACGGCGTAGCCTCTGCGTAGCCCCGTAGCCTACGCCCTGCGATTTGACGCAGAAGTATAAATTAAAATACAGGTTTAGTAGGGAGGTGCGAGAAGCTAAACGACTGTACTCAGAGAGACTAAAGAACCAGTTCTCTGCAAACGACGCCACTTCTGTCTGGAGGGGGTTCAGACAGATAGCAAACTGTAAACCCAAAGTCCTCCACTCCATAAACGATTCTCGCCTGGCAAATGAGCTGAACCAGGTCTACTGCCGCTTTGAGAGTCAATCGGACACCATCCCCTGTGACTCCTCCGCTCAGCTTCAGCCTCAGTCCACCACTTCTTCCCCTCCCTCCTCAGAGCTGGCCAGCTCCACCCCCTCCCCTGCTCTCTCCATCACAGAGAGGGAAGTCAACGGTCTTTTCAGGACGCAGAAACCCCACAAAGCAGCTGGGCCGGACTCTGTCTCCCCATCCACCCTGAAGCACTGTGCTGATCAGCTGTCTCGGGTGTTCACAGACATTTTTAACACCTCACTGGAGACATGCCATGTGCCAGCCTGCTTCAAAGCCTCCTCCATCATCCCTGTCCCCAAGAAAGCAAGGACCACTGGACTAAACGACTACAGACCCGTCGCCCTGACCTCTGTGGTTATGAAGTCCTTTGAACGCCTTGTGTTGTCCCACCTAAAATCCATTACAGACCCACTCCTGTACCCCCTGCAGTTCGCCTACAGAGCCAACAGGTCTGTAGATGATGCAGTAAACATGGCCCTTCACTACATCCTCCAGCACCTGGACTCCCCAGGATTTCAGCTCTGCTTTTGACACCATCATCCCAACCCTGCTGCAGGACAAGCTCTCCCAGCTGAGCGTGCCTGACTCCTCACTGACTTCCTGACGGACAGGAAGCGGCACGTGAAGCTGGGAAAACATGTCTCTGATTCCAGGACCATCAGAACCGGATCCCCTCAAGGCTGTGTTCTTTCACCCCTTCTCTTCTCCCTGTACACCAACAGCTGCACCTCCAGTCACCAGTCTGTCAAGCTCCTGAAGTTTGCGGATGACACCACCCTCACTGGGCTCATCTCAGGTGAGGATGAGTCTGCCTACAGGTGGAAGATCGACCATCTGGTGACCTGGTGCAGCCAGAACAGTCTGGAGCTCAACACTCTGAAGACAGTGGAGATGGTCGTCTGCAACTAGTCTCATTAACAAGGCCCGGGTCCCCCACTAACACTCCCCCATCTCAAATGATAAAAATGTCTCTGCACATGTAAATACTGTTTCATCTCGTGTCGGGCACAGGCCTGGCACGTCGCACATATTTGTTGTTGATTGTTGGTCTTTGTTGTTGTATATTTTTATGTTGTCATAAAAGCCCACTGTCTTCTGATTGGCCAAGACCTGAAGCATGTTACCAGGCTGTTGTTGTTTTTGCTGAGCGGTACACACACACACAGATTATCCAAAAGCTAAGTGATCGTTGGGGGCAATGCGTTTACATACAAAGTCAATGTGAAGATGCGGTGTCGCTGCTGGAAGTTGAATGACCTAGTGAGCTCAGAAAATATGTGTCTGTAACTTTATTCCAGCTATCGTTGTACTTACTGTGAACAAGTTAGGATAACATAGCCCTGATTTCACATGTTTAAAAATCTGCATCATATTGTAGTTATTTCGGCATCAGTTTGATCCGTTTATTGCTATTAAATACAGCAAAATGTTTACTAGGGGTTCATACAGCTGTAGTAATGGCGAGTTGCGTTTATTCGCGCTATGGCGTTGTGTGTGAACACTTGGCAGTTATCCAGCGATAAAACCCCCGCGAGGAAAGGATTAAATTCTCGTTTGATCTGAATGCAGTTGAGTGTTGCTGTGCTGTTGCAATGCAAAGCAAATGACCATATGAGTCATAAAATGTGGAAAAGCATTTCTCCTTTAAATGAACCAGCAATAAACACAGAAGGCATATTACTGGTGCAATCTACAGTACTTGTGGCCAGTGATTTCCCTCATATACATATGTGGAAGATGTAAACCTGTTGAATGCTCCCTCCCAAATGAGCATCATGTTCACAAAATCCTGGTTAGAAATCATTAGGGCTGGATGGTATGGCCAAAAATATTAACACGATAAAAAGGTTCATATCTTTCGATATCGATAATTAAGTGCCAAAGTATCAAATAGTTATTTCTTTTGAGTTTAAGTGCTGATTTTTGCTCCTGAGTGAAAATTGAAGAAACCTGATAGTTAATTGTGCTTTAAATTCTTCTTTATGTTCAACACTTGATTCCGAACAGTGGATCACTTCACAAATCTGAGGTAGAACATTCAAAACAATTATGATAAAATCTTTGTCAACAAATATGCATGAGTAAAATTAAGTAAAAGCTTTTTTCAGTCCTTTTCTCAACAAAATAAAAATTGTAATAAAAAAAGTCCTAATTTGTGTATTCAAGTGTCTAAAATCAAACATTTATTGAATATTTATTGAACATTTGTTATATTGTTATTGAAAAAAATTATATCATGATAATTATTGTTATTGTTTTATTGTCCAGCCCTAAAAATCATGAGGCATAAAGAAATGTATATTTATGCAATGCTTCTGTGATAAGAGGAAGGCTAAAGTACTGTCACGTCCCTCACAGTTCTGTCTTCGACACTGGACCTGCTGGATCTCAGTGAACCTGGCGACAGGAGGAACAGCAAGGACAGGAAGAGTCCCCTGCTGTCCCGGGGCAACGTCCAGAAGAACAACCCACACAGGAAGAAGACGGATGAGACGGAGTTGATCCAGGTGGAAGTAGAACAGACAACACCGAGCATGAGAAGCCCAGAGAGAGCATCACTGGACTCAGGTAGAGATGGGTTGTAGATTTTTTACAATCTTTTAGAAGAGTATAGACACTGGTACAGAGAGAAAAAGCATTTAACAACTCATACACTAGAGATACCTATATGATTTCACATAGTACCCTGCCCTGCTTTATCTTGCTATCAACCACCTCACCCAGTTTCTCAAAAGCCATAAAACTCCCACAAACCACCCAATCTCCTACATACCTCAGCAACTCGGATTCCCATCATCGCCTGTGGAATTGACCTTGCACATCTATAAGATGGGCCAAAGAAGGATCAAGACAATTTACTGTAATGAAAGGAATCATGTTATAAGACATTAAGAGGAAACAGCCAGTTACTTTCGTATTTGCCTGTTGAAAAGGTTAAATTCTTCAACGAGAACTAATTATGCAGAAGGGGTCAAAATACAGTGTGGTGAATAATTTATAGCAGTGAGATAGATTATAACTCTAACGTCAGCAAATGTCCGGTTAAAATTGTGGGCTGATGTTTTTTTGTTTACATCCACAATAACGGTCTGCCTTTTTTAGCTCACTGTTTGTCCCATCAGAATGATTTCATTAGTGGTTGTGATCTGGTGTTAAAAGGTTTGTATTTCAAATAAAGGTTAAAATAACTAGTTACCCCCGCAATGGATTGGCGACCTGTCCAGGGTGTATCCCGCCTTTTGCCCGATGTCAGCTGGGATTAGCTCCAGACACGCGCTACCCTGTACGCAGGATAAGCGGTTGGCAATGGATGGATGGATGGCTAACTAGTTACTTTTTAAAATTAGTCTTACTGCTTAATGACATGGCAAAATTTACATGTACATCTTAAAACAGCATTAGTCCAAATTAACAGATTCATGAACTGTCTGGGTTGCTGATATTTCAGAATTTTATATTTAAATTGATTCATTTGATCAAAGCTGAGGGCTTTTGATGTGCAACCAATTAAATTAATAAAATTTTCTGTCATTTCAGTCTGTTTCATGATTTTATTATTATTTTATTCTTAAGTATTTTATTACTGTCACCAGTTAACATTGGTTCACCATTGGATAAATGGGAAGAGCTGAACCCCAACTCTGAGAGGAATGGCAACAGAAAATGGAAAATGGAGAGACGGCGATCTTCTAAAAATTCATCCAATGAGTTTCTGTGGTAAGTATTGTCCTGATAGCGACATTTTATAAGCCCAGTATCCAAACAAATTAGGCCTATGTTGGACAATTCAATGGCTTACAATTTACATCATGTACAGATTATATTGGCTTTCCTGTTTTGGTCCAGTTCACATCACCACTGTTTTCAGCAAAAACGCTCTAAAAATCAACTGTACGCCATCAGCAGACAGACAAAGTCAGGGAGTGAGTGTTGAACATTATGAGTAGAGTATTTAGCAGCTAAAGAGTCAGATACTTCCCTCAGGAGTTGGTGGAGTTAAACGGAGAGTGGTTATTGGACTTACATTCCCAAGGTGGCCAGAAGCACAGATCTAAATGACACTAATGTTGCTCCATATCTGCTAGATGTGTAAATTAACAATTGTTTCCCTACATGTTAGCCATCTCGCCTTTATAAGGATGTTGTTTACAGTTTTTTGTGCTGTCCCCAAGTGGCCAAAAGAATCTGTGTGTTTTAGTCACCTATTCTTAACCATACTCTTAACATCTATCCCCAACATTTACCACACCATAGTTGCCATGCACTTGTAGAAATTTAAAAATGTTGGCAGTGAACTGTATCATAGCTTTTGTCAAGTTGTCCAGTATCAGCGGAAGCCCCAGGATTTTGGGTCAGAAAACTGGTTTACAGGGGTACAAAAACTCCAAATTTGCCAAGGTGGCAGTGGAGAAATCTTATGTGCGTACATTTGAGATACTGCATCTCCTAGACTATAAGAAGTCTCAGAAATGTTCTACCTATCAAGTTTAGCACAATATGTCTGTACCATTGTAACCACCTATCTCTCTTCTACTTTAGGTCCATAGACTGTAAAACCCAATTGGAGTCATCAAATAAGAACTCCTTGGAAGCAAATACCAAAGTCGAGCCAGAGTCGGCCCTGGCATCTCAAGTAAGTGTTCAGTTTGAGAGGAGCAGGCAGTAATCATCATTATTGTATGCTCTGTCTGCACTTGAAATCAACATCCTTTTAAAGTGAGAAAGCTTCACACATCTCAAACAATATTGTTCTGACTACTCGTTAAGCCACCATAAGAATTTTATAAAATTATTAATTTAACTTGTTTATTTAACAACTTCATGTCAATGCAAAATAATGTAGCCTTAATATTTAAGCCTGTTTCTGATGAGAAACTCTGTTGTGTAACCCATCATTTTGTCCTAACACCTACAATTCTTCCATTTCAGCTCAACAGGCAGTATATTAGTGGAAGACATGTAAGCCTCCCTATGCATCCTTTCATATAATATTGAAAGACGTCTACATTTGCACCGGAAAAAAAGCATCACACCATCTCATAAAATTTGACTTAAAAGACAAAAAGAGGAGATTGCATTGAAGCCAAAAGGAGCCTTTGCGGAAATCCAGATATACTGTCAGCCTTGAGATCGTTCCTTTGTGGTGCTACGAGGTCCAAATGTCAAGCGCTTTCCTCCTGAGTTGATGTCTCTGTCTGGGTCTGCATTACGGGTATTACAGACGCCATTATTAGATTATTAGCCTATGAATTATTCAGTATTCTTACTCTGAGCCCATTACTGTTGATCTCGCCAAGCTAGATAAACATACATCACCTTTTCAGCACTAAATAATAGATATGGGATTAACGATAACCGTCCGAGACAGAAGGAACTTATTGGCAAACAAACGCATTAAATATTTTTCACATAGGAGTTACGTAGTAGATGACAGATACTGTAAACAGTGGTTTTAATTTCCTACTTGGCAGTTACTATACACACACACAAACTGAAAACACATGCAAACAAGGGAGACATGTGTTTACATACACTGGACTGACATGAAAAAAGAAATTTTACCCTAAAGGAAAAATCCACCCTCAGTTAGATATCATCAGGCGGAAGTGCCCAGTACAGTCCAGGAATGATCAAGTGATTTAAATTACTTGAACATGGGAGCCAATTCATGACCACAAGATCAATATGTGACATGACAAAATAATCTCAAATCAAGGTCCACTGACTAGGTTTTTCTAAGCTTTCAACTGCATCACAGTATTCATCATCAAATGGAACTGGTGGAAACTACTAACAAAATTTTGGTTTACCTTATTGACAATTTGCTAAACTCCTCTTCTGAACACAGATTGTCCAACCAGAGATTAGCAACCATTAATAGACACCGCATGCCTGTCCAGCTTTGGATGTTCTCTACATGTTGGTGGGTGGAGCACTTCTTTTTAGGTTTTCTAAAGCAAGCTTAAGTGTAAGAAATGGCTTTCTTCTTGTGTTTAAGTGAAAATGAAAAATTGTGAGTCTGGAAAAAAAAAACTCGTTGTTACTGAAAACTGGTTATTTCTGGTATTAAATGATACCCGGGCTGGTAATCTCTTGTCAGAATAACCAAATCTTTAGGGGGAATTAAATAAATAAATACAACCAGAAAGTGACAAAATGGCCAATACCTGTTTTGTAAACAATGTTACAGTGTTTCTGGGTGGATTTTTCCTTACTACAGCATACTGCAGTTTCTTCACACAACACAGCAAAGACTATTGTAAATGTGGTGAAATTTTATTTTACTGCATGCATTTTGTTCTTGTATATTAAAAATATTGTTATCTACAATGAACACATGAAGCAATTTCCAGAGTCCATTAATATTAAGATTAAGTAACCTCAATTAATCCTGTATAATGGAAGTTTGTAGAGATGGGAATTTATACAGGTACTGGCTGGTCTGATTGCCAAGCAGCCCTTTCTGGGGGAAGTCACTGACTTCACACACAGCAGCTGATTCTGCAGTCTCTGTAATGGATTTGCAAGCCCTGGTATATAGTCCTTGCTATTTACAGTAAATGTAGTGCCATATCACATCTGAGCATCAAAGGGTATCTCAAAATCCTTTACCCTTTACAGTTAAATGTGTTGGTGTAATGTGGAATAATGTAATCTACAACGCACTCTCATAATGCAAGACCACATGCATGTAATTGGTCAATTTTCATTTGCATAGCAGAACAAGGTTTGTGACTGAGAGGCTATCAGCATATCTCAGAGTTGGATATTGCATGTGCAGAAGCACGGGAAAGCGAGGAGTTGGGGGTTGAAATTGAGAAAGGCTAGATGAGAAGCACTGCATTCAGATGGAGGGTGGGGCGAGATGCTGACGGTAGTGATTCTGCTGGCTTTCCTAAGCATGTCAGAGGCTTTGTCGAGGCAAGGGTATTTACTCGTCCCTGAGAAAGCAGAGACGGCTGACCCTGCACACTCTCCCTGCCTGTCTCTCCCTCTGGCTGATTGTGTGTGTGATGTGGATGTGTGTTTGTGATGTGTTGTGTGAATGTGAGTGTGATTTATGGATTTTGTTTCTGTATATATGTATATTTTATGAAACGTGTGTGTGTATGTGTGTGACAGGCTCGCCTAAACAAGGAGCAGCGGTGGGGCAGCGCCCTCCTGTCCAGACATCAGTCCCTGGAGGAGGAGTTTGAGCGGGCCAAGGCTGCTGTTGAGGTAAGCTAAGTGCTGCTTGGTACACCTCACATCTGTAACCTGTCAACTGAGAGGTTGGCAGGTTACAGATCTCCGCCAATGACTTTCAATAAGACCAACAGGAAAGTTGGTGTATCAATATTAAACAGCAGAACTTTGTCTGCACTGTGCCCTGTCCTTGTCAGCTTTGTACAGGTTTTTTGGAAGTATTAGGGTGTACTAGTGGTTAAAAATTCTACTTAAAACATCCCTGCTCAACTGTTTTTCAGCAAGAAACTGAATCATAAGCAGCTCAAAAAAATTATTCTATAGATTACCCCTGACTGTAGCCCCATTTGCTTTAGGAGACAACTGCTTACTGTTGAGCTGCCCACAGGTGGCCAAACAAATCAATTATCCCAGATTTAAACAAGTGTTTTATTTGGCTATTCTTAACTACTACTACTCTGACTATCACCATCTTCCCCCAACATTTACTAAAACATAGTTAAGCCCTATTTGTTTAGGGAAGCATCTGTGCACCCCACTTTAACCACACACAACATTTATCAACATAGCCACCTAACCATAAGGAGCCCATTTTAGCCAGACTTTAAAACAAACTTGGATACGCATCACAAAGTTGATATTTATGCTTTATCAGAGGGATTTTTACCCTTTATTGGAGGGGTTTTCAAATAGTATGTTTCTATTTCCCAATGTAAAAGTCTTCAAGAAGGAGGACTGACTGGTTGGTACATCCAGCTAACGCCCCACCACCAATAAAGAGCAGCATACAGCCACTTCCCTAAACTAAAAAAACTCCAACCCTGCCACTAGGCCCCAACTTTATGAGAAAGGGATAGATAAATCCCTTGAGTGCATGTAGATATATTAAATATAGAGATGCAATAAAGTGAGAATTCTGTGAACTTTAAACCAAGAAAACATTTTTCAATATCACATTTCCAACATCATTGCCCATGTAGCCTCATAATCCTTCCAGCAGGTTGAATATATATCCACCTGAAGCCCTGCAGAACTAATTTCCATTTGACTCCTTTAGCCCTTTTATCTCTTTGTCAAATGATCACTATTCGGCTTCCTGCAATGTATTTGTCCCTGTGGTGCTAGCTGACAGTTTAATAGTCCATGCTATATTCATACACTCAAGTTCACAGGATGTTTGACCCAGAAAAATATTCACAACTTTCACCTGGCTTACAATAGGAAGGTAAATAAGTCACTTTATGGCCTGACATATCAGATACCGCAGGAGATGGCGAAGTTACAGTAATTAGATGGACAGGATAAAATAAGAACTTCCAATCCCTTTATTGAGATTTTTGGCATTAGGTTTGAATACTTTTATAAGTTTTCTTTCAGCTTGAGATATGTTTTCATGTCACATCACACTGGCCCAACAACAGCTACCTAAAAAAAACATCATTTCTGTACTGTACAGGAGTTTAGAGTTATTGTTACTTGCAATAAATCCACTATACCACTCAATGGACATCCTCCTTCCCAGAAAATGGTAGTGAACCCTGCAGTGTTGAGTTACTTTAGCTTTACTGAGGGCTAAAGTAAACTGTTGCACACTGAGCTTTGTGTAATGGTCAATAAATAATAGAGCAGGGACAGGAAGATGTTGAGAAATTGAGAGGCGCAGCTGCAGAGAAGTGGACCACCCGCTTGGGGATCCCTCCCCAAAGTTAGCGATGATGTCACATCTTGTATAAGCCGCAAGCTGCATCCTCACAAATAATTGCACAGTTTGAGTACACACGTCAGCCAGAGGACAGGTAAGAGATGAGATTCTGAGATGCTCCTGGGCAAGGTTCTGGGCATGGAGCATCGATTGGTAACAGTATCTCACAGCTTCGATCGGGTAGCTTGAGTGCTGGCCTCCACTCTAGAGGGGCTGTGATGCAAACGGCAAGCCATTTTGGCTTCAGCTGCCAATGTCAAAGCCCACAATCAGATCATTTCCATTTAAGTAGCTATGCATATGCATGCTCGTACATACTTACAAAGACATGGAGGTAGAGACTGCTCAGAGGCACAAAAAACATTAAATCAGCACACTGCCTTTCTGACAATTCATTTAATTAGACAAAGAAGCCAAAAGTAAGAAAATTAGGACCCACAGAGGGAGCAGACAAGGAATTAGGCTCCCAAATATAATCCATTTTACAAAGCTGGCACTGGTAAAAACCCTTGAAAAGAGAGGTTAAATTGCAGTGGGCCTATAGAGGGAACTCAGCTTTGAATTCATTTACAAAGAGGCTGATAAAGAGATATTTTCCAAGTAGGTAAGTGGCTGTTAATGTCACAGGAGGACACTGTCAGTTACTCTGAACTGATGACAATGTAATACTTTTATTAAATAGAGAACCACTGGAACAGCTGCAGGGTAAATTGTGACTTCAGGGAACAATGTTTTGGCAGTGGGGTACAAGAAAGCACTCCCACAGTGGTGATAAAGACAAGATGAAGGTGACTGTGTGGCCTTTTGTTTGATTAAAACAGCAGCAGTCTCACTTTTATCTCACAGAATATTGGTCTGAGGCTGTTCTGGTTCTGTGAGAGATTGCAGAGGCAGTGCAGTTGCCTAGAAGTCAGAGATGCAGGCTTGTGATCAAAAGGTCAGTGATTTTAATCCACAGATCTGCTGGGAAAATACAGATGGGGAAAGTTAATGAGTAATGCTTTCACCTCCCTCAACAACTCTCATCAGCATGCCCCCAAGGAGACCTCAAAACTTTTCCAGTGGAGCTGCAAGGTTTCCAACATGAGAATAAGAGAGCACATGGCAATTACCAAAAACCCTGCAAGAGTAAATTCAAATTCCACATTATTATCCCCAAGAAGAAATTAATTTGGTGAGAGTTGCATACAGGGGTGTTTGTAGTATAAGAAAGTAACAGAAAATACATACTATTAGGGATAGAGACCACTTCCTTTAACCTAAGTGCAATAGTTCTGATCTACCCAAATTAACTGCACGAGGGGGAAAGAACTAGAACTAATTCAACCAAACTAAACAACGCAGGTTTGAAAATACCCTCAGTCCACTTCTAAGCAGACTCTGTTGCAACAGCAATGCAATGCAACAGCAGGATTTTAGCACAGTGGATATTTGATTTTAGCATAACCTCAAAAGCTAAACTACTATTTAATTCATCGTCTGCCGCGTGACCTGTTAAGGAAGCAGTCTGTATAAGTGACACAAATATTTATGCAAATCATTTGGTTACCATGGTAACATATTTACCACCTGATCAATCAGAAAGTGAAAAGGAGTTGTGCTCAGATAAGATAAGGATAGACAGACACATAGATATACTATCCATAAGTAGAAGTAAAAAAACTTATAGATATGTGTCATCGACTATATCTGTGTAGAGACTTTGTTGTCCAACCAGTAGTTCATGCAGAGGATGTGAAGTGTTGTCCATCATTTTGAGCAGTTTTGCAACATTCCTCTCTCCACAACCAACTCAAGAGGCTACATGTTCATCTTCTGGCCTTAAAGGCCAATTTATTTTTTTTGCGTCAAGTCTACAGGGTAGTAGGCTATGCGCCATCGTGAGCATTTATACTTGTGCGTTGGTGTCTGTGTCAATCTGCAATTACACCACCAAAAGGCTAGCTTCTATGTTCCACTGTCTTGAGTGTCTTCTTTATTGGTGTAGGCTACTACAAACAGTGGCGAATGAAACTGAGTGTTGAACGTTAAATGTTAAACGGCTGCTGTTACTTTTAAATTGAAATTACTAAAACACAGAGACGAGAAAAGGCATCGGAGGGGATGGTATGTCCGACCCTTGAACCGGTTGAGGCAGAAGAAGGACAAGCCGGAAATGCGTAAGAGGAAATGCGATGCTGGCAAGCCAGTCAATCTTCGTGGCTATCAGCTGTAATTCCCTGGCCACAGTAGATCTATGTGTTGTTATCACAGACATCCATGTAGTGGGTCATGACATTGTTTGCCAAAATGCATTCATGGCACATTGTCCACTGAAATGTAATGTATTATTCTCTGAGTGACATTATCTTCTGGACTACAGCTTCCTATTTTTGTCTCACTGACCAGGGACTTGGCCTATGCAGCAGAACAGAGGGTGGCTCATCAACATTAAAAGGCCAGGCCAGCCCTGCTCTCTTTTTTTTCCTAAGGCTGCTCTGTGTCACCGGTAAATAATGAGACTTTTTGTGATATAAGCCCCCTGGGAAAAGTGGATATGTACACCCTGTTCATGTGCTTTGTTTTCTTCTAAAGGTTGAGCCTCAAGTTAACACAACTCAAATTGACATAAGAAGTTAAGGTTAGAGTTGGATATTTAAGATAAAATATTTTTACTGAACATCTTATTACAGTATCTGATTCTGGAGGCAAACCAGTCGCTCCAGGAATTTAAAATCATGCTAAACCAACAAATGAACGGAAATTCAAACATCTCTAACAATTTACCAAACTAACAGAAGGGACCTGCTTTAGTTAATAAGGTCTTAACAATGTTCATTTCAGCAGTACAAACACTTAGCAAGCAGATCATGAAAAATGTGTCACTTGTGTGAAATAGCGTGTTTAATGGTTGCCAAAAGCCTCAAAGCATATAGGCCGTTTGACTGACATATTTGAATACATGGAAACAGTCCAATGAATATATGCAAACTCAAAAAAACACAGGATAAAGCCTAATGTTGTTTGCTTGGGAACAACTGAATATGTTGCCTTATATGGGTGAACTGACACCAAACAGGCCTTCTCAGTGATATTAATTATGATCATTAATTATTTCTCTCTATATTCATATATCTATTCATACAGCTGTGCTTTTTACAATCCTTTATGATTTTGTTTTCGCAGTCAATTTACGACGAAATAAAGTCTGAGGTAATTGTTTTGTACCACTCTTTTTAAGAGCATCAGTTTCTGTGTTTTAGCTGACATAGCATGAATTATTAGGTTCTACAAATTACCTTCCTGGCAGTGTGCCTTTATTTTCATTGTATATATTACCTCAGTCCACCAG